CCCCCCCCCAAAAAAAAACTCCATCGTCATAGGCAAAGGTCAAAATCATTTTTTTATTATGACGCATTCTGGGATATGTGACGTCAGAGAGAGATGGTATCGCCCTAGTGAGCTGTTAGGTGACGTCAGATAGGACGGCTTTGCTTCTGATTGGTGGAGCTCAATGTCGCAATGGCACCTTCCGAGACGGGTGACGTCAGAGAAGGCATTACCACTGATTGGCGAAACTTAATTAGGTCAATTAGTCATGTAGTGACGGCGAAGAAGAGTGGCGGATGTCACTCGAGACGTCCGGAAGAAATCTCCGTAATTTATCCAGTAGTAGAGTTTGATTGGTATTTGACTTAAGGCCACGGGAAGTAAATTTTATGGATGACATTCTCCACAGACTCTAAATCTAATGCGAGTGGGAAAAAAAAAAAACAAGACGGGGGTAAAAAAAACAAGATTCCTACATTCTCAAATTTTGACCATGTTCAACAAGAAATGATACCTACATTGTGTTAAGTTTACTGCCGACTATTACAACATTCATTTCTCACTGAAAGAACTTTGAAAGATAAAAGTTTTCAATCATTGTACAAATGGTTTTGATTCAGTGCATGGGAACATCGCATAAATACAAACACCATCACATATAAAATAAAATACATCACAGTATCAAAGTAAAAGACAAAACATTAAATCATAGCCTTGTCTTGTCTCTTCTCTTTATATTTATCTGCCATCCAAGTTCCGGCATGGGAAGAGACATCTTTGCACATTTTCGGCATGTTGACCACAGTCAGAGGGCAACAAAATTTCTTCTTTTCTTCCCCCAAAAAATCAGGCAAAAATTAATGCGCGCGTTGATGACATCCATAATAATTACTTGCTGTGGCCTAATCAGGTAAATGTCTACATCTGTCGTTGTGGAGTCTGAGGACTCCTCTGTCGTGCAGCATCCTCAGGGCCCGGAACTCCTCCGGCATGGCGTGTAGACCGCCCGTTGCGTACCGCCTGTGGTCGTAGTAGTGGTACCTGCAACATTCAATTTATCTGTTAACGACAGAATATGTGAATGTTGTAAAAAAAATGCGATGGAGGATGAAGCCATTGCGCTTATTATAGCACCGAAAGAGATAAGTTATTTGAAATGCTCACCAAAATGTTCCCAAGCTTTAGCCACCTTCTCAGCCTACAAAAAACTGCATTTAACCCCCCCCCCCAATAAATACATCGCACAAAATATCGGCCATTTCATACTCCACTGCACACAGAAAAGAAATCCAACCCGACAATAACTATATCCAAAGTAGCATTAGCATTACTTATTGTAATTTTTACTGCTTATTTGTTATCATGTTCTTGCAAATTAGCCCTCGGGTATGAATTTGCAATAAACTTGTACTATCGAAGATGAACGACATTTCATTATGGATTGTCCACTCTATAATGATAAACGCACAAAGCTGTTCAACCTTCTTTCCGCTTGCTCAACGGAATTTGTTACATTTCATAGATAAATTCAATACATAGGTATGTAAAACCTAATAGTGGACATCAAAGGCCGTGTCTATACGGAATCACCCAAACCGCGATTCGGGTAACTCACATTCCTCACATCTGGTCCACGTGCCACACACACCTGTGAAACCGTGTCCGAACATAATGCGCTTGAGCTACATTTATTGCTGTTTGATGATAACACGCAAGGCGGCGTGTTATTAATGTCAGAGGTCAACGACCTGCTTGATGATGCCCCCCCTCCCAGCGTATCTCGGCCGAATGCCGACGTGGTCCCGCCAGAGGCGGTGAAGCTCGTCCTAGAACGGACACATTATTTTACCATTACTGCTCTTTAAGTTGCTGCCACGTAAAAGTTGGTATTGCATATAAATAAAGAAATATCACCCCGTAATCCATGACCAAGCGAAATCACATTGTAGTAGAATGGTTTATTTCAAAATTGCAAACTCCAGACATACACCATTTCAATTACAACCACACTGACAACAGACTCGCAGGCAGCCATACTGGCTGCCTGAATTGCTCTGAGGTCACAAAATTGAAATCACATTGCGTTCAGACGCAAATCGCGATGCGGGGAAACCGATTCGAAACCACCTCTCGAAGTGGCTTGGGCTCGAGGCGCTTTCAATGTGATTTGGAGCGTTCACATGGAGCCACTTGAAACCGGCTTCGGGGTAAACCACATGTCAACCGCCTTGGGTGATTCCGTTTAGACACGGCCAAAGGGGATAGCGACTTCTCATACTCCTTCTCCAAGCAAATTTCTACTATCATCCTGCAAAGAAGTCTGGTGGAGACTAGAGAGTAACCAAGAAGTAGAGAAATCGTCCATGAAGATAATCTGGTGTCCAGTCTATATCGTGGTTAGGGCAGGCTGTCTTCGGGGCTCTAAATAGTTTTCCCCCGCCCAGCTCAATAGACCGCCCGTGAGAGTATTACGCCTGTGATAGCTATAGAATTTGGCACGCCGGGATATGATTTGGTGGGGCTTATCAATCTCCCATCGTGAAAAACCTACCGGGGAATCTAGCTCAGGCGGGCGGGGAAGAGCTCCAGTAGCCCCGAAGAAAAACCCGCCCCAACCGCGGTAGTACCTTAGCCGGTTGCCGCGGTGGTCCTCCTTGAAGGGAAAGTAGCCGTAGACGTGGATCTCGTCACATATTGTCAGAGCCACCGTGATCATGTACATGCCTGAGGAAGGACGCTTGAACTGGAACTCTCTCGTCCTGCTCCAAACTCTGTGGGAACAGTGGAACCAAAGATTTCAAACTTCCGGGAACTACATGTAGATATGACTTGCCTCAACTAGAGAAGTAACATTTGCAAATCAAATGCATAATGTTTACCTTCGGACATGGACATTCACATACATGTACTACTAGTATATGGTGACAGGAGCAGAACAGACCATGAAATTGCAACATTATGTAACCCAACACCAGTCACCATGGTGACAGACGTCAGCAAATCATGTCATTGGCCAGGTCAGAGGTTAGTGTTTGTAACAGAAGAGGAGGAAGAAACTGAGTAAAAACAAAATGTTTTCCTTCGGTAAACATAATGAATGACATCATAGAATGCATTATCACTCGCACGATGGTATAACAAAACTTCGCTAAATATCACATCATGGTTTTAATATGTTTCATACATTCCTGGTGACCATATACTTGAATCCAGGGCATGCCGGGACAAATTTAAACCCCTGACAATCAAGTGGAATCCACTCACTTTGGAACACTAACATACAAACATAGCATAATTAGCACCACCCAAAGCATTACTTCCGTCCTAGAACTTTCGCCAAAAATATCACACTCCCTTATACATGTAATATATTCTGCAGTAGACAGATAGCAGAATTGGGACATCAGTATTAGATAGCTTTAAACAACGCCGACAGTTAGATGCGCAAAGGTTGGATGTAACAGGCCGTTCTGCATGTGTAATATAGCCAGCTGCCACCGCGCCGCGTGCCTGCGAAGCTGGTGTGTTTACGCCGAAGGGCGGTTATACCGGCTACACAGATACTGATACAGAAAACTGCTCACTTTCTAATCAAACCGTTGCAATTCCGCGGTGGAAAGACGCTTCTAACCGGTAGACTCTCGTTGAGTATGATCTCGTTGGTCCACTGCATGTAATCCCTGCCGTTCTTGTTGACGAAGGCGAACTGGTAGAAGATGGAGTCCCCGAGTTGTCGCAGTCTGTCCACGAACCTGGCCTTGACGGTTTCGTTCTGGTCCAGATACCTGTTATATATGACAAGAAATTTGAAATTAAACTAGTGAAGTAACATTTGCAAAGCAAATGCATAATGTTTATTCTCGGACATGGTCTGCTCTGTTAATTCTTACTCAAACACATTCACATACATGTACTACTAGTATATGGCGACAGGAGCAGAGCAGACCATGAAATTGCAACATTATGTAACCCAACACCAGTCACCATGGTGACAGACGTCAACAAATCATGTCATTGGTCAGGTCATAGGTCACTGTTTGAAGAAGCAGAAGAGGAAGAAACTGAGTAAAAACAACATGTTTTCCTTCGGTAAACATAAAAAGACATCCAACGCATTTACAGGGCGGCGAAACTGGAAATATTCCGAATAATGATTTATGATATTGACACATACTATAGCACATTTGAATCAGTATTTCATACTTTAAGCATTTAAAACTGCAGAAACAAGCTCCAAGATTAATCCTTTATTTTCTGGGTGGTACCTTAAAAATCAATCCTGGTCCTTCCAGTGACCGTTTTTCGTCAGAATTTTGGACATTTTTGCTTCATGAATGTCCATATACATTGGGATGGTGTTGTTTCAGCTTAGTACGTAGATAAGTGACTAGAATATTGACTTTGAAAAATCTGGGTTTCCAAGCCCTAAAAACTGCACTGGATGCCTTTAAAGGATGAGATTCCCTAAGTTTTCTTGGTAGGTTTTGAAATGCCACTTGTTCTACGATGTCCAATATCTTGTCACCACAGGTACCTGTAGTCGTGACTCATCACCGAGGGGTTCATGGTCGTCAGGCTGTGTTTAATGCCGACGTCATGGACGTAGGGCAGGGTTTGGGCCAAGTTACACCTGAATAAAAACACAAAAACGCGTTATAACTGATGTCTAAGTAAAACTACAGTTTACTAAGTACTACAGACTGATAGTTGCTTTATCTTCGTCAGATGGACGTAGGGCAGGGTTTGGGCCAAGTTACATCTGAGTAAAAACACAGAAACGTTAGTTATAACTGTCAAGTAGCTACAATTAAATTCTTCGTAAATCAAAAATGCTCATGTATTCTATACAACACAAATATGTGTTTGTGTGTGTGTGTGTTTGTTTGTGTGTGTGTGTTTGTGTGTGTGTGTGTGTGTGTGTGTGTGTGTGTGTGTGTGTGTGTGTGTGTGTGCGTATCCTTTATCATCCTTTTATTCTATCAAACTACCTGATGACAAAGTCGGCCGAGTCAATGTCGCGACCACAGCCGCTGTTGAGAAGTATCCCAGAATTCCCCACCACGGAGCACTTCCGGAAGCGCTTTCCCGCCAAAGGGTTGACTTCCGGCATGTTGCGGTGCAGTTCCTCCGTGATGTTACATCTGTCCCGGACGGAAACCTCGTACTTCACGGTATCTCCCACTTTGTACTGGGACTTCAGAACGGTGAAGTCTTTTTCCGGGTCGAAATACTGAGTGATGTATCGTCTGAAAAAGTAGCATGCAATTTATCATGAAACTAGAAATATAAAATTTGCAAAGCAAATGCTTCATATCATATGGTCTATCCCAGCAAACTAATGTTCTATCTTTTCTTGCTCATTCATATATACATATGGTGACCAGCCCCTCCAGCTCTGTTCTGCTACATAATGTAACCAAGCACCGCGTGGTGTCTGCTACAGCACCAGTTACCATGGTGACAGACGCCTTGTTAAGGTCATTGATCTTATCTGTTTGGAACGGAAGAAGAAGAGGAAGAAGAAAAAATGACTTAAAATGTTACATCTTTTTCATACACAATTGATATGGCTTAACACACAGGAATATTGACAACCTCACCTCCAGTGCTGTACTTCTGTGCTGTTTACTTTCCAAGTGCTGACGTCGATTGGCGCCATCAGAGACTCAACGGTGTGATACTTGGGCCGCAAAGCATCCCGGGAGCGATTGTTGGACGATGTTTTGTTGTAAGACTTGAGATCGCCAGAATCGTTAACTCTGTCAGAACGAGATAAAAGCAAAAATATGTACAGGATAAGACTGTATTGAAAGACTGTTTCCGTTCGTGAATAATTTAACGGTGCCCACCCCAGTTCTTCCACGTGATAGTGCGGGGGTAAAAAAAGTGACGACAGGGTTTTGAGGGTCCAAGTTTGAGGTGACATTTCTCATAAACAGCCATGAAATATTAGTTAACATTAACATGGCTAAAGAGTGTAAGAAATTGTGATTTTGGGGTGAAAATTTCTTTTGGCTCCGAACCTTACTTCCGGGTATTCTTGCGCGCTAAGTGTAATCCGGCCGTTTGACCTAACATCTGTGTCCATAATATCACCAGGGTCCATAATATCGCCACCTAAGTGAGAAACAGTGTGCTTAAAGATATTTTACTGCAACATACCCTAGGTGTACATTTGATGTGTGAAGGAGTGCATACCAAAAGTATGTTGCAGTAAAAATATCTTTAAGCACACTGTTTCTCAAGGTGGTGATATTATGGACCCTGGTGATATTATGGACACGGATGTTAGATTTCGCTCTGCGCCTTCCTAGTGGTGGATTTGCAACCCCTCGCGCTGTGGACGATTTAAAAAATTACAGTACTAGAATTTTCTTTATAATTTACTCGGGTATAGTCAAGGCTTGGGTCTTTCCGCCAGCATCAGTCATTTCTGCCCGAAAATTTTTTTCATGGGATTATCCTACGCGAAAATACCCAATTTTGTGTATTAATTTTGTAGTCAAATTAATGCTTGTTTTCTGTTGATTTTACCACAATTAAAGAGGTTGAAGAAACCAAACTCAGCTGGTCTTGTAGCTGAAGAGATATCCTTTCGTCCCATATACAGTTATCCTCCTTCCGAATTATTCCACGGCAGAGACGGTCGCTAGATTTGAGGGTGTGCAGCTTCGAATAGAGACGCCAAATAAACTGGGGTGTACCCCCTTAATCGGGTTGGTGAATGACTGAAAAGCAACGTTCAAAACCGTCTTCTATCTTTATCAGGGCAGTGACCAAGTCATAATTGCCTTGTTAAAGATGGCAGACAGTCATCGAAACGTCGGCTCTTGTGTAACACGTGGTTGTAAATACAGGACGTTGCTATTCAAGACTGTTTTCGACAAGAGATAAGGTGGTCTACACGTATCTGTTTGTTGATCTAAAATATTGCCCCGGGCTATTTCAGCCCTTTTAGGTCACCAATCGCTGGTATAAGCGTAAAAAAAGAAAAGAAGAAAACACAACAACAAAGAAACGTTGTTCGTTTTTATGTGATACATTTACTACCAGAATACCTCAGTGTGAATTCGTAATCCAGTGCACAGGGCACAATGCCTCCAGACAACAACAACAACAACAATAACAACGATTGTGACCAGGCCTTACCTGTGGTACGTCAGCCAGGTATGCTCGCGTCTTCTGAGACGTATCTCTACCTTCACGACGTCTTGGAAACTGAGGAAGAAGTTCAGTAGGACCAGGAAGGACATGGCGAGTCCTAGTCTCTGTAACGTCACCCTCGGCAGTCGACCGAGCGAGTCCGAGTCCATGCTTAGAAACGTCGTCGGTAGTCCTTTCCAAAAACGCTGTGCTGGTACTAGTAAATATTTCATGATACCGGTACACGCGCCTTTTTCTCGTTGCCATGGCCTAGTTGTTCTGTGAGCGCCATTTTTTTTCTCGTTTGGGCTGGGTCACGTTGTCAACAAAAGGTCGATGATATTTAAAGCTCGTTGTTCGGGATCGGTGTGAGAGGTCAGTGTGATTGAATACACGGCGCACCCAAGCGCACAGACTTAATGACAGTGTTGTACCACACAATCGAAGTGCCCTGGGGCGGGGTTGGGTTGAACCATGTTACCGTGGGGTCCGACAGGGTAGATTTATTTATTTATTTATGTATTTATTTATTTATGTATGTATGTATTTATGTATGTATGTATTTATTTATTTATTCATTCATTCATTCATTCATTCATTCATTCATTCATTCATTCATTCATTCATTCATTCATTCATTCATTCATTCATTCATTCATTCATTCATTCATTCATTCATTCATTCATTTATTTATTGGGGTCCAGCTTGTTACAAGATAATGTTACATACAGTAGAACAAAGGAGGACAACATACAGTAAAACATTAAAAAAACATACATCGAAATGCGTCGAAAACAAATGTGTCGAAAACAAAATCAACAAAACTGTTGCACTATTTATTAAGGGTCACTACACGTCAACTTTCATGTGTCCTGATCCGCCTTCTCTTTCATTTTGGCCAAGGTGACCGTCAGTCAATTGCGCAAGCTAGCTAGTACCCTCCACAGTAATCCTATTTGTCCTGTGTGTCCTTGTTTCTTTTGGCCACCATGTTGTCTGGCAAAACGGGAAAGATATAAACAAATGAGAGGGCTCGCACACACAGGCATTGCCAAAACAGGTGGTGCCAGCCAAAATATAAAACAACGCCACCTTGTGTGAGAAGTCACAAGTGCAGCTCCTGCACAGTCAAAACACAACCCCGTCGGGTCACCCTGCGGTGCAGCAATGGCTTCTACCGCCGTGAGAAGACTTCTTCCCGTGGGTGTCAGACTCCGGCAGACGTACACTCCCCTCACGGCGTCCATGCCTGCCCTCTCCCGGCTGTACAGCACTGATGCTGATCCCAAAGTCGCTGTGTTAACCGACTTCCAGAGGAAGAAGATAGAGAACTGCTTCGACTTCTACGGTGGGTGTAACTATACTTGTTATTTCTTTCTTTGTATAAACAGTAACATAAAAAAGCTTTGACAAGTGAACTACTCGTATGTAGCTTTGCGTTTGGGCAACTGTATTTTTAAGTCACCTTGGCAACTATAACGTTAGTCAAGTTTGCAAAACACGTAAACATGTACCATGATTGTATACATATATACGTACATGTAAGTATATGTCACGGTAGGGACTGGGATCCATGACAATCGCGAATTGTCCTAGGACAAATTAAAATCAAAATCAATCCAAGGAGAAAGGGGAATTCCAATCTCTCCTAGGACAATCCACGATTGTTATTCATTCCAAACTCTTCTGTGGCAAACTACATATACGAAGGGGTAAGACAATACTGTTACTATTAATATTACTCTATTGCTTCATACCAGGTCCATGTATACTAGTATTATATATTAGTTCTAATAGTACTGGTACTAGTACTGTTTGCCATGATCCACCACCTTCCTCTATCATTTCATAAATTGAAAATATGACAAACTGGCATATCTCATTAATCATAGTTACAACGGTTGACGAACTTTGATTCGTTAAGGTTTGGGATTGTACCGACTGCACGATCCCGGCCTTACCACAGAGCAAAGGTCGATACGAAGGGGCAGTTTTTATGACTTGGCTAATAAAGGTACCAAATACAAGATCATGCATCAAACCTGATCGACATAACATGACCGTGAGCCCAGCACATTATTCGTATTTACTGATTCAGATCACGTGTACATGTAAACAACCCTTTTTCGTTGCTGTGATTGTCTTTTGTCAGTGGTAAGAATGCGAGACGTGAAACTCTGTCAGAATACCGAATCAACGTGCAAACATGGAACTGATTGTTCACTGCTGTGAGCTAACAGTTTGAATTTTATGTTGGTCACTGGCAGTCTAAGGCTGGTTAGGTTAAGTTTAGTTTGGTTCAGGTTAGCTTTAATCGGCACTGTGGGCTTTAGCCTGGGTGCCAGGCTCTTGCCAGGGCTATACTGGCTAGCGCCTCGGCTCCATGCATGGCCAACATGGAAGTCACCAAGGAAGTTTTACCACAGTTCCCCCTTATAGTTCGCCCTGACAACGGTCTGGTATCCAGGCTAACTGTGAGCTTATTTCCCTGCCAAGTCAACTGTAAAAGCCCACCCCAGTGATTTTGCCTCAGGGTGCCGAAGATCTGGCATCTGCAGGCCTTGGAAAAAGGTCTGGATTCCAGGTTAAAAAGGATTCGAATTCTTGTGCGATTCGTAATTTTCCGGAGAAATCCCTACAGAAATGCCCGCATGTTGTTTAGCCGTGCAGTGGACATCATTGCTACACACACTAATCTACATTGTATCACATTATACATTAATGTATTTTTGTATCTTCCAGATGTCAACAATGATGGCATCCTCAGATTTGACGAAGACTTTGAAACAGCTCTAAAGGTAGAATTAAACCATCATTTTTCACTTTTTTTCAATGTACCAAACAGAAATTAAATGGTTTCTAAATGTAATATTTTTCCAATTATGATGTTGAAGGTCGACAAAAGGTCACCCTGATATGAGTGAGTAAATAACTGTTCGATCGTGACCTTCAGTTCCAAAAATGGGCCAAACAAAGTCTGACCTTGACGTAAGAGATGACAAGGTCAGGTACAAATATGGCGGATCATCTGATAACAGAGCTCACGACTTGTTGTGTGACGCACACTGGAACACGTCCCTGGCACGTCCCAAAACATGGACGATAGTTTTGTTGCCAAACATATTATATAGTACCCCTCCCACCTCGATATTACGCCAGATAGTGGATAACATCCAATCGGCAACCTTGTCTTGTATTGTTTTGCTGTTGTCTATTCACATTTACTCCAACATTTCCATGAATTTGTTTAAACGTCTTGACGTCCTTTGGAAAGCGATCGTTATAATCAACAACCAGATCTTTTGGTTCCAACTTGGCAAGTCATTATCCAATACGCTGGGGGGAAAAGACAAAAAATAAAAAAATGAACAAAATAATAAAAAGGCCGACATTTGCTTTGGAGCAAATGCAGCATGGCTTCATCACATTTTACGACATGACAGGGAAACAAGGAGAAATACAAGGCAGTTAGTTAACCCAATTAAATCCCAACAGCCAATCAGCAAGAAGAATAGAGAAAAGGTGCATGCCTATTGGCTCTTGCTGTGCATGTAATTCTGATGACTCACCCCCCAAGTATACTGTAATTTTTTATCTGAAAACAGTACAGTCAAAAAGCCCCAAATGATACAAGTTGAAGGGAGAGTATGCAAAAAATTATAATAAATTGTTGTTGGTAGATTTATAAAGCATACCCATACCAAATTTCAGATGATTTCGGTGCAATACTAGGTCTTCAGGACCACAAATGTACAGATTTCGTCAGAAAATGGCCAAAAACTAAAATAAAACAATTTTAAAAGCCTGTATAAAAAAAATGAGAATTAATGTACCGTCCCACCGAACCCTTACCAGCATCTACTCGTAGATCGATATCGATACTCATCTAACAAATGACACCCGCGAAAGTTCAATAATCTGCCCTTGTGCGCCACCTGCTTTATATATATCAACTGTACGACAGGAATGGTAGGGAGGCATTGACAAGCTTAAGTGCGGTGTGAAGGGTAATGGTTTTATTTTACAATGACAAACGCTCATTTTTGGCAGACAAGTCTCAAATATTCAAAAGGGAAATATCAGTCACTAAATATATATACAAGGCCTCTGTTGTCTCTGAAAGTTTGCCAAACCATGCATGCACTATTATATAGGTACTAATGTAAAATTAGCTCAGCTATTTTAAGATATACTAAGAAATAATAACATCATCATTGTGATTGTAAACAAATTATGGCGGCAACATTAAAACTGTTTAATACATATAATATAACGTCTGAGTATTTGTAGTAAAGTCCCTCAAAAGATCTTGATACATATACATATTACATATTATCATATTGCCAGAAGACGTCGACCAATCAGATGGTTTTATTTCCAATCGATTATGTGGTCGGTCATCAGAATAATCACTTTAGTAGGCTATGTGAGAATAACGTTATATCCTCGGTGTATATGGTGAGATAATCCCTGTTCAGCTGCAATAACCACCTCACAAACCACCTCGTTCGCTACGGTCACTCGGTGGTTTATTCGGTGGTTATTGCACCTGATTTATGGTCCCTTGCACTATGATATTGTATCCCGACCCCCTTCTTTCCAGAGCTACATCAGACTGAACGGCTGGACCGAGGACTCCAAGCAGTACGTCCAGTACTACCGCCGCTGGGTGGCGTTTTGGAACAACCTGTACGCCGGCAAGATGTTCAGGTAGCAGAACACAGTTTTTGCCCTATGGGGACTACTATAGTTAAGGACCCCAAGATGACACACTTCGACGCGGTAAAATTACAGTAGGGTGCACTTCACAAATACGGAAATCGAATATGTTTGAGAAGAAGGTACAAACTACAAAATATCTAGAAACCAAAAAATCCTGTCGGCGTATCTGCTCGTAACGTAGACTTTGAAATCGCCCTCTACGGACGAGACCTGAACTGCAGCCGACTCACCCTGAAAGCCAGTTGCGCATGCAATACGGCGCATTTATACACGAAATGCAAAGCCTTAACAATTCAAATCATACAGTCTCAAACCCGATACATTCCTACACCACACAGCACAATTTACATTTGGCTGACGCTCTTATCAGGCTTTCTACCCAGTCTTCAAGAATATTCGCTGTGCTACTTTCTATACCAGCGTCATAGATCCCGGGGGTCGCCCATTAATACTGTGTGCTGCTACCTTCAGGAAGGAAGGGAAGGGGGACCAGCAGATAACCCGGGAGGAGTTCTACAGCATGTGGGCCCAGGCGCTGTCCAACAGGACCGACATCAACAAGGCTCCGAGATGGGTGCGGGACCTCATCCCCAACATGTACCACGCTATTGATACAGACGGTACGGACCTGCAGTTCGCATTGATTACGCTAGGGGTAAGCTAAGGCACCGAGATAGGTTGATAGGTACGTGATCTCATCCTAAACATGCACCACCAGGCTATTGATACAAACGGTACAGACATGCAGTTCACATTTATTACGCTAGGAATAAGTTAAGGCACCGAGACAGGTTGATAGGTACGGGATCTCATCCCCATCATGTACCACGCTATCGATACAGACGGTACGGACATGCAGTTCGCATTTATCACGCTAGGGGTACGTTGAATGTCTTAGTTGCTACTCTGGTAGCTTTTACAATTAAAAGAGCTCGATCGGTTACATTGAATTGTTTGCTCTGCATCAAATGTTAAGTTAAACATGTTTACGTTTTTGTTTGCTACTTGCTGTCTTTCGGTCAAAGACAAAATTCCATCTGGATTCAAGTAATTAAACCCCCAAAAGTATATATCATTATCACTACATATATGTGCACTTTATGTAACGTTAGATACTGTTACACCTGTTTCTAATGATGATTTTACTAGTTGTGGATTTCGGATATTTTTGCACAGGTGACAATACTCTGAAGCTGAAGGACTACGAAAAGCTCTTTGAAGCTTTTGGGAGAAACGGTAACGTTGCGGATATCTTCAACAAACTAGATATTGTAAGTATATATTTTTATTACATTCTGTCTAAGAGTCTTACATTAACTTCATTTTTCAGCAGACGAAAACAATATTTCGTTTGGGGGATGAAGCAGAAATACATTCTCTCATAAAAAGAGCGACCGTTGTGTTTAAAGAGCTACGTGGCATACAGTATTACTTTTGTGTGACGTGAAATTGTTCAAAAGTATATTCCGATTGCCTTGTTCTCTGTTGAGACGGAAGTATTGTTTTTGGGTGTTGCTGGTTTAGGGGAAGTTTGTATGTTTGTATCAGACGACATAGGCCTGTCAGGAGGTCAAACGATCGTGTGGGAGTTTGTCTAGGAGTTCAGTAATGCTCTTCACAGTTTCAATACATTAACGACAATCCAATACATCGAATAGACCCAGTTCCCGCGGCTTTCAATAGAACACTACAAGCAAGCCCCCGTGACATACGTAATTTTGCAGTATTTTATCACTGAAGAGCGTAGCTTACCGTGAGGGACGATGAAATGGTGGGTTCTGTAGCAGACGACATAGTCAAGCTAGCAGTGACGAAGGGAATCCGTGCCAGCCTCGCTTTCGTGCAGATCACACGAAATCGCGTTAGACTGAACTCTCGCGGGAGCACTTTTTCAAAATGGCCGCGGGAATTCGAACTGGAATAGGTCTATTCTCGGAAGTCTGACGTTTCTCGTGTCTTGTTTTAGAACGGAGACGGCATGGTGTCCAGGACGGAATGGGACATCCACATGCAGGACTTCTTCATCAGCGAGGACGAGACGAGGCCTGGGAATCATCTCTGGGGATATCTACAGTAGAACAGCCTTCAGACGGATGTTGTCATATAGTCTCCCCAGAGGAGGCCTGGACGGGTGCAAGTACGCTGCCTTGGGGGAGGCCGTTCTTCTGCCTTCTCCATCTACTACGATCGTTGTTGAGAAGAAGAGGAGGCCAGGAGGCTTTATCAACATGCTTTGCTCAATCCATCAAGGAGCCTATTACCGTTTTTATCGCTACATATATAACTTGTTGTCACTGTCATTTTTTTCTATTAATCAACAACATTCAGTATTACGTTAAAAGCAATCGTGTTTTATAAGTGGGGTATACTAATATTTGAACGGGCGTGAAACAATAATTCTTGAGTTTTTTATAAATTGAATTTCTGTTGTACCTCAAGCTGATCACATTACGGTAAACTCTGTAGCCACGTCCCAAACGCCCGTGTAGAGGCTAATTGTGCAATAGATTTGGTAATATTTAGAACTATTTGTACAGAGTCATTCTGCTGCAAGCATTACTTTGACTCTACTTTTGTGTTATTCCTTTATATAGAAATATAGAAGAAGTCTATATATAGGAATGAACGAATTCCAGTTTATGAAAGGCGATAGCGAGCTTCAGGAAGAAATTAAAAAAATGTTGTAGTTGATCTTCGATGATCTATCATCGCTATTCATATTTCAGTCATTGATAATGGAAATCTTATTTCACGTGGCTGGGATTTAAAATAAGGATTGTTTTGAATAAACGGCAACTGTTTTGCAACTGTAGTACATGTATTTGTTATATTTTTAACAACAAAATAAAACCTTTTTGAAAGAAGGATACAAGTACATGTATAGTGATACAGATATGGGAACAAAATACTAGTACCTGATAAGATGGTATTTTTGTCACATGTTTGGATTGACTATGTCTGAAGGCAAAATATAAACGTAACTGAGTGGACATACTGAAGAAAAACGGGAAGCTTTACTGTGGCACGTGCGGAAAATGCGTGGGTCCAACGATCACAGTGAAATTACAGTTTAACTTCTTCAGCATCGCAACGTTTTGAAGATCTATCTATTGTGAGAGTTCTTATACTAAGTCTAATGAAGGCACAATGCGTCATTTGGTTTGCCATTGTAGTAGGCTCTCGCAGGTCAATTTGCAACGTTCTTCCATTGTTAAGCTCTCTTCTGCTTCTTGAAATCTGAAAGAAAATTATATAATTTCACATTCCTGTCTTAGCCACAGCTACAACAGTGTGTGGTTTTGGAAATAGAAACAAAATGTAAAAATAATAGCACTTACAGTTAAGGCCAGTAACAGGTGATGACTACTGTGGGTCACGGCCACGGGACGGCCGCTACATTGTCGAAATTGTGGGCAATAAAAGAAAAGAAACATTAGTTAGTGATATGGGAAAAAAAGGCAAACATAATCCCATATGATCGATGGAAATAGTCTATTCACAAACTGGAAACTGGATGAGCACCGACACCAACATTTGCGTGTTGCACTATTTAGTCCAAGCTTAAGGGATATTTCCATTAAAGGAGCACTTCGGACCAGAAGCGGGAATCATGATTCCTCAAGTAACAAATTTTTACGCTTGAATCCAGTTTGTTTTGTCAAATTTACCATTCGTTTAAGGCTCAACACAGCACAAACATTGCGACGAGTTCTTGACGAGTCCCCAAAGATCCTTCCAATAATCCGATTTTTACCGGCCTCGCTCGAAATTAACTTTTGATCCTATTGTCACAGCATTGTCGCAAAAATAAATTTCACTTGACCCGAAGTGAGGATGAACTGTCCCAAAATTTTTTTCGGGATGTATGTATGACAGCAACTTGTAGCCAACTTTATTTTCCCAGACGCGCTAGCGCGCTATAATTGCAGAATATAGACAGGAAATTTCGGGACCTTTTCCGAGCCAAAAGGCAGGACGCGTGCCTGATCGACAAAAGTAGCTATTGTCCCGCAAAATGTTCCAAAGGGATTTTTCACTTGTCTCTACCTAGATTTTAGTGGCCAGTGGCCAAATGGACACTGTTAAAGGAGTACTAACCTCCAGAAGGGGGTGCTATATTTCGACAGGCATTTATTTTTGGAAGTGAAAAATTCTTTTTATTTTACAATTTACAATTAGATGCCCATTTTGCAAGCAAGTCTTAAATCGCATCGAATCCAGGACTAACTCTCCAAATACCCTCAAAACTATCCCAGAATACACCACGCTACCCCATTGGTGTCTATGTTTTAAACAAAAAGTTACGTTACAGACCTCATTTCGGGGGCGATAAGAAAAATTCGTACTGTTATGTGTTCTTTGGTATCTTATCAACCATTGCCCTTCTTGGTGTCCTTATCGCCCCTCATTTATGCCGCAAATATTGATGATGAAAAAAACGGCGTAATCTAGTTATCCTTTTCATAAGTGGCGTAATCTAATTATCTGTTCAAGTTATACTTACATGCAAATAGTTGAGAAAATCATACACACAGGATGAAACTGGCGCCTACTGTATTCGACATCATAATATTATAATATCGAAGCCACAGGTCAAGCAAAGTAAAGCAAGTAATTTCTCAATAATCAGCTCGTTAGTGTGCTTGTCTCCTACCATTTTCGCCAATAAAAAGGTTTATGTTGACCTGAAGTGTATGAGTATTGCGTAAGCCAGAGTTCCCGGATGTATCAATTGTGGTTCAGCATGGGGGAAAATGATATTGATATTACTTTACAAACATGCACCGCGCAACTCGTACAAGCTAAATTAGGTAAAAAGTCGGCTAGTTATGTATTCATTGCAGCATGATGTATCGGAAAATAGCACACTTCCTTCTGGAGGTTAGTACTCCTTTAATTTCGAGCCCTGGGTAGGGACACAATTATAATAATCTACTGTAATGTTCAGGATCAATTTGTTGAGTAGGTAAACTGTGTTCGCACAAACGTTACAAGGACAAAAGCGCAAAAACATTGCATGGCCATTGTGTTTCAATTATTTTTTTTTGTGGGTCATATTTGTCCGTATAACTTTATCTTTTAGACAGCAACGTGTCTTACAAAAGTATCAAAATCTCTGAATTCTAACAATTTCTATTTCCCGAATTCTATTGGAAATGTTTGATAAGGGTGAGGGGAGAAATCCACACAGCTTCTGGACATTTTGTAGAAAATTATGATGGCAATATAGTACTACCAGTACTACTTACCGGCTTGTTAGGATCGGGCGGAGGCGTTTTTGGTCTGGGTTTGGGTTTGCTTCCTGATCCTCCCCCGCCTTAATTCAATAATGGAAAAAATTTTGCATCATCACACTTGAAAGTTAACAATATTTGTTTATTTATTGATGATGCAATGGCAGCGCAAAAACATCGGTGGAAGTGTCGAATATCACATAATGTATAGCTCAAAGAGATGAATGTTTAATTGTACCCACCGTATAGCTCATCCGGATCAGCCTGGTGCATTGCAGTGGCTGTGATTTGTGTAAAATGTACATGGAAAAGAAATTAAATCGATTATTTCAGTACCTAAATTTTCACTTGATTATGGCTACTGTAATTAAAAAGAAATTGCCAATATCTTACTATGCTGGTTACACTGCACAATCACAGTTGGATGAGAAAAGTAGAACAAGTGCTTGATACTAACCACCTGGGTGCCGGCAGGTTCATTACCTTGCCCTTTTGTGGAAACGTGACAAAATAAGAGCTGAGCGATATACACAACATGTTGCATCCTGAAATAGTATCCATTCCACAAATAATCTCTCTAAGTGCTGACCTTATATGATATATGAGCTTAAGCACTTCAGGTCTTTTTCAAACGTTTACAGTAAAAATATTTGAACAAAGTCGTTGTCATTCAGCATAAATGTACTTGTCTGATGTACAGAGGTTACACACAAGTTAAGCTAATAATCCGAATCATATTCTTTTGTACTCACCTTGTGCCACGTTCCCTGGGCTCACCATCCCCGTGTCATCTGTCTCTTTAGATGATCTCTACGGAAACAACAGTGTGGAAAAACAGGAGGGAAGAAATGAACTACTTCATATACATCTCTATCCCTATCTATCTATGTATCCATCGATCCATCTATCTATCTCTGTATCTATAGATACATGTATATCTATAGATAGATAGACACGCGCGCGCACAAACACACACATACATGTATATGTATTATATATATATATAATACATATATATAATACATATATGTGTATTATACATATATATATATATATAGAGAGAGAGAGAGATACAGCTATATACAGATAGATAGATAGAGAGATAGAGAGAGAGAGAGAGAGACAGAGAGAGAAAGAGAGAGAAAGATATAGATAGATAGATAGATGGATAGATAGATGGATAGATAGATGGATAGATAGATAGATAGATAGATAGATAGATAGATAGATAGATAGTTAGATAGATAGATAGATGGATGGATGGTATGAGGTACACATGTCCGGGATCTAACGTAACGTGTGATACAAGCTTTGCAGGATGCAGAAACATAACAGGAAACATTTTACAACCGTTCGCTCGCTTGATCCGGACATTTCTGTGTCTCCAGGTCAGATGTACTTGTTGATTTCCAAAATCAGGTTCGATCTGGGTAATGTTCCTCCAAGACCAATCTGGAATAATAGAAACTCAGATATAATTAATGCAATACATGGTCGTCATTATACATGTCTTAAATCAAACGAACTATATATCTAATAATCTATATGCCTATAAAGGTTAGCATTCCGGACATCATTAGTTGGAGGTCGCGAACGATTGGAGAGTGAATTTAAACAGGTCCTGTCACACGTTTGCGTTTATCAAGTCATTAAACATAGAAAGAATTTTCCTTACTTGACTTATACGTTTCCTGTCTATTCACAAACTGGAAACTGGATGGGCACCGACACCAACAAAAAGATCGCGTTAAACTACTTAAGAATCTCTAGCAACGTTGCTGTCCTGGAGTTAAAAGACATCGAACAGTTTTACCTGAAATGCTCTGCCAAAGTACCAGTGGTGTCGTCGACTAGAACCCATAAGCCAGGACGACGTGTGAAACGATACCTGTTCCTTTTCGGAGACAACAATGATTTTGACCCCAAAGTTCTTTGGGCCCCTAAAGAAATGGCGGACGATCCAACTGACAACAATGGCGGGCAATCTGGGGATAAATAGAAGCGAAAGCTGACA